GGGCAGGCCTAACCAATGGCTACACTTCACCCAAGGTCACCACGGAGGCACAGCAGAGCCAGGCCCTGGGCAAGTCGTGGGCTATGGGGCCTTCACTGGCAAGTGGACCCCTCACTGCGTAACAGACAGAAGCTCCCGGGCACCAGAGTCATCCTCTGTCACATGCCGGCAGCCTGCCCAGCCCTCCAGGCCCAGACACACACACACACACACACACACACACACACACACACACACACACACACACACACACACGCCAGCAGCCTGCCCGGCCCTCCAGGCGCGCACGCACACACACACAGAGCCCTGGGGAGCCCTTGGGTACACCATCAGCAGGAAATGAATCCCTCTTCCAAGCCCAACTGCACCCTGTCAGACAGCCCTGCTCTCCAGTGACCCAGCCCAGATTATAGCTGAGATGAGCAAAAGCCAAAGAAGCTGAGATCCAAGGCCAGGCCTGAACCCTGCACTCCCTGCAGCTGCTGGCAAAGACAGCGCTCAGGGCGGCCCCATGGGGACCCAGTGTATGCACCTCAAGCCCTTCCTAGGGGTCCTCACCTGAATCCCACCACATCCCACAAAGCAGGCGACACAAGCATCCCCGCCCTTGGCCAAGGCTCAGAAAGGCCCATCCCGATCCTGAGTGACACCACAGCACGTGGCCGAGGCCATGGGGAGCGTGGCTGTGCTCCCAGCACAACTGATTCAACTACACATTTCATGGCACATTTTGTCTTTCAACCCTTGAAGATACACACTGGCCTCTGTCAGCTCCCGGCAGTGCTCCGACTGGCTGCTGGCTGCAACTTGCCAAATCCTGATCTCACAAGTGGCCAAAGGCAAACAGGAAAACAGACATGACCCTGACTGCAGGTGACAGGTGGCAGAGAAGGAAACGCAGAGGGAACTATGAGTAACACATTAGGGGCAGGGAGCCTCGGAGGGGGCTACTGTGGATTAAGGTGAATGCGAAACACACGGCTTCAGTGAGCCCAGCAAACGAGCTGCCCAAAGGAAGGACCCGTGTCCTCCATCAGAGCACCTGGGTTCAATACCTAACTCCAGCTTCTGTGGGCTCGTCACCTATAAACGTGAAACCTGGGTTGAGTTCCCAGCCTGGTCAATCCCAAAGGCCGGCAGCTGAAGTGAACCAGTAGATGGGCTATCTCTGGGGGTGGGTGCATCTCTGCCTCTCCAGTAAGTAAACAAAAATGTTAAAAGTAGAGGGAGAGCCATCCAGACAGCAGCGATAGCATGTGCAAAGGTCTGCACAGAACACAACCAGTGTGCCCAGAATAGGCCATGGCCAGGGCAACCAGCTCTGGCCTGTCACACAGGCATTTTAACCTAAGAGTGAAGAGTGGGCAGAGGGGTGGTGGGCAGGTTTGATGGTTCCAGCTGGTAGGTAGAAGTTCGGCTGTGGGAAGGCCGTGTGCAACTGGGGAAGGAGGACAGGGTGATGCAGGAGTGGGGAGACGCTGTGGCCAGCAGCAGCTTTGCAGGTCGAGCCTGCAGGGTTTTGCTGAGGGGTACAAGGTGGATACTAGAGCACCTGCCTGCACTGCGGCGCAAGCACTGGACAGACAAGGGCTGTCTGCAGGGAGGTGGGCATGCAGAGCACAGGGTGGAATCGGTCTGAAGTGCCCCCTGCCACAATGCTGCCCAGACACACACAAGCCATATCCTCCACAGGCCATCTTCTGTGGTCCAAGGCTTGGCACCCCAGCAGCTCTGGGCCACAAGCCGCTTTGGCACCATCAACCCCGCACACAGTAGGCTAGGGGGCTCTGGCCTACCCATGTCCCACTGAGCCCCAGCAAGATAACGCTGAATCCAAAAAAGAAGCCGGCTGCTCTGCCTCAACACTCCAAGCACAGAGCCCATCCACGGCAGAAGACACCAGGGGCCAGCAGATGGTGCGGCTCTGAGGATCAGCCTCAAAGGTCACCGTCTGTCACCAAATGCCCGCTCCAGCCTTTTCCGCATCGCCGCAGTCACTCACGCGGACGGAAGGCCCAACCACAAGCTGTGCCGTGACATTTCCCGTGGGCTGACTGTGTGCCAGGCACCTGTGAGGCCTCTTACCCCCGACACCTGGCCCACAAGGCTGGGGCCAGGAGTGTGCCCAGTCCACCAACTGGGGAAACTGAGGCAGCTCTCTCAGCCCAGAACTCAGACTTTGCTTTCTCTCTGGGACTATGGCTGGTTCCTTCTGCCCCCACCAACAAGGCTGTTCTCCTTTAAAAATAAAAGGCTCGTTTATTTGAAAGGCAGCGTGATGGGGGACCTTAGGGTATAGCATGTTAAGCCATCTCTTTTGATACCCATTTACCATATTGAAGTCCAAGTTTTGCTTTTTTATATATATATAAAAGATTTACTTAGTTACTTGAAAGGTAGAGTGACAAAAAAAGAGAGGAATTTGAGAGATCTTCCATCCACTGGTCACGCCCCCAAATGGCTCCAAGAGTCAGGGCCGGGCAGGACAAAGCCAAAAGCCTGGAACTTCAAGCAGGTCTACCATGTGGGTGCTGGGACCCAAGCCCTTGGGCCACGCTGTGCTTCCTTCCCAGATCAGGGCAGCCCACAGCAGCACTCACACAGAATGCTGGCATCCTAGGTGCTGATTTAACCTATTCTGTCGCGACATAGGTGCTGCCACTCTGCTTGCACTCCAGCTTCCTGCACACGCACCTGTAAAGACAGCAGATGATGACTCAAGCATCTGAGTTCCTGCCACCCCCATGGGAGATCTAGGAGGCTTCACACTGCCCTGGACCTAGCTACTAGGGGTGTTTAAGAGTAAACCAAAGGATGGAAGATCTCTCTTCTATGACTGTCCCCGGCACTCAACCTTCCTTTTTTTAAAAAAAAGAAAAAATCATCTATTTGAAAGGCAATGACAGGGGTAGAGGGAAGACAGAGAGAGAAAGCAAGCTTCCCCATGCTGGTTTATTCCCTCAAATGCTTGCAGCAGTATTTGCACAACCAGGAACCAGAAAGCCTATCCAGGTCTCTCTGGGCACAGGTACCTGAGGATTTGGGCCATTATCTACCACCTCCTAGACACACGAACAGATCAGAAGCAGAGCAGCTGAGATTCAAACCAGCATTCCAACAAGCGACTTCATCCACTGAGTTGAGAAAAATCTTGCTGTTCCATTCACATCAGCAGGTAAACAACTGATACACTGAATAGACATGTGGCTCCAGACCCTGAGCTGTGCCCTGGGCCAGCACCCTGTGTTTGAGACCCACAACACAAGGGATTTTTTTCATACCCACCATACTCCTCGCGTCCTGATAGAACAAACCACAGTGCAATGAAGAGGAAGGACAAGGTAGGAGCTATAAGACCAGGGCTGCTGGTCCCAGAGCAGGCCTGGCTCTGAGTCACTCTCAGCTCAGGTGCTCCAAACAGTAAGAATGAAAGGAGCCAGGTCTGGGAGCAGGGGACCCGGCCAGGCTCCAGCTCTGCCCTGCGAGTTCACCATGGAGAGTCACCCCTTCTGGCTCTGACTGCACCCCGTCATCAATCAGAGATCCTCTCTGGGCACCTTGCCTGCCCTCTCCTGACATCCCACCCCTATAAAAGGTTTTTGGGCTTCTTGCCCAGCCCCTTATTCTTATTCTTATCAGTTTAATTACTGGGGGGCAAGGGGAAGAGTTGTAGCCAGCCTAGATACTGTTACTGGGACCCAGGTAAAGCTGATGGCAGCCACCTGCTTGCCTTTGGCTCCCCATCCTCCCTTTTCTCTCGATTGAGCCAGCCCCACCTCTATCATCACTCCTTCCCCATTCTCCAATCCTGCAGGGGGCTGGGGGAGAAGGGGACCTCCTGATCCCTGCCCCTCCCCACTTGGCATGTTCCAAACTGCACCAGCGCCCATCTCTCCGCCTTGTGGAAGATATTAATGAGCCTGTGTGCCCCAGGCACCCCACTCCCCATTCTGGGCAAGGAGCACCTCACCCCAGAATATCTGTGCCCCCAAGAACTCACTGTCTGATGCCAATGGGACCCAGAAGGTCCCACCAGCCTCTTCCAGACCACTCCCCTCTAGAGGCCCACAAACTGACATGGGGCGGGCAAGGGAGGAGCCCGGGGGGCTTCCTGTGAGGCCCCTTAGTCTCCTCTCTCTCACACACACACACACAAACACACACACATGCACACATGCTTTCACACGCACACAGAGCAAAACCAGGCAAGCAGAGAGAGGGAAAGGCAGGCACGTAATTATTGGTAAAATGCTTGTAATGTTTTTCTCTCTACCCGGTAGCTTTCAGTTGTTTTAGCAGCTTAGCGAAGCACTTGGCTCCAATTGAATTGCAAATCAGCAGCTCTTGCCCCAGGAAGAGAGGAAGGGAGGCGGCAAGAGGGGGCAGGGCGGGATTCCAGAAGGAACGAAAAAAAAAGGTATGCGAGAAAGAAGGGCAGAGGGGAGGAAGCCAGATTCCAAAAGGCTGGGGTCGGAACCACAACCCCAGAACCTTGCCCTGCTTCTCGTGCCAGGCCCTGGCTTTCCCACCACTCCACCCGACAGAACGGCACACTCTCGTGCCAGCATGACGGCTGGAAGGTCACGAGGGAATTCCTCAGCCACCCAGAGGGAAAACACATTTTCCCCAGGGACCACAATTAGAAATCACGGGACCCCCAAGTCTTGCCTTCTCTCTCTGGCAGTCTCCACCACCCACATTTCCATCCAATCTTCTCAGCGCTCGCTCCACGACCCCCTCCTCCCACCCCATACTGCCTTTCCCCCTCTTGCTTCTGAACGTCCCAGAGCAGCACAGCTGAGCTCCCACCCCAGCGCCAAGCGCCGGCTCAGCACCACGGCCAGCGCCTCCCACCAACCTGCCCAGCCTCAGGAAGGCTGTCCCCACACCCTCGGTGCCTACTCCCAGGAACTAGGAGCTCTCCCCCATGGAGACACCGGGAAGCCAAAGGAGCTGGGCTGCCAGGCATGCACCTGTGGGGCCGGCCGCGGGGCACTAACCTTGAAGAGGCGGAGGATGTTAGCCACCATGATGGAGACGGAGCTCCCCGAGGCCCCGATGACCCCCACCACGCGCTCGGGCTTGGTGATGATAGGTGGGCCGCCGCTGCCACAGCGGACCTCCGTGCCGTCCTTCTCGATGAGCGCCTGCACAAAGGTCAGTGACTGCTCCAGGGCGTGGGTGTCCCTCGAGCAGGTGTCCAGAATGCGGGCGCCCAGCGTGATGTTGGGCAGCAGGTCCGGGTCGTTGTTGATGCGATCCAAGGCAAAGAGCATGGCCTCCAGCCGGTGGATGCCCTTCTCCTTCTTCAGTTCCCCGCAGGCCTTGCCCTCGGAGCCCCGACCGTGCACAGGGAACAGGCCTCCCAATGTGATGTCTCCATCTATGCGGATGGAGTTCATGTGCGGGTGGCCCTTGGGCTTCCCCAGGGAGGAAGGTAGCCAGGGGCCGGCAAGGCTGAAGAGCAGGCAAAGGGGCAGCTGTGCCCACCACCAGCCCACTCCTCTCTTCCCGAACATCTTGGACACCCTAGAGACCCATGAACAGCAGGGCCCCACTCCTAGCCCCAGCGGATGCCTGGCCACACAACAGCAGTGGTTGTGGCTACAGCCGGAGGACACATGGGCAGAGCAGCTTCAAGAGCCAGAGGGCTGAACCATGCTGGGGATGTCACTCGGGTACCACTCAGAGGTCGGCGCAACCCCAGCCCACAGATGGCGGTGGTGGGGCTGGGGCAGCAGGCAAACTCCGGCCTGGGTGCCTGCGTCCTGCAGGCCCGTGCTTGGCGGCTGGCTGTGAGAAGGGAAAGGTGCTCCTAGCGTGGCGTATCTTGGCATCAAGGAGAAAACAGCTTGGATGGTTTCCTCCTACCAACCTTGAGGGCGAGGAGAGATAGAGAGAAAGAGAGAGTATCAAACAGAAGCCGGAGAAGACATTAGCTATTCTGATCTCTCATCAGGAGCCAGGGAGAAGGAGATGCCGGAGGTTATCACCAAAGACTCCATAAATCTCCCGAACTCGGTTTCCTCCCGTCTGCAGCTCCACGACGGCCGAAAAGGGAGAGCTCAAGGCAGAAATTAGGTCATGTTTGGAGACGTCGGAGGCCTGTTCCCGCTGCCATCAGCATACCCAGGAACAGCCTGGCACGGGCATTGGAGGTTGGGGGGGACCAGAGGGGCAGCAGCCACTTCCAGGCAGAGGTCCAGGCAGGAGAGTGGGCTGCTGGCACCTCAGTGGACACTCTGGTGTTGTAGAAGCCCACTGTGCAGGGTGAGGGGACACCAGGGCGGAGTTGGGCTGCAGGAATCCCCACGTGCCCCTTGAATCAGGAAGTTCTTCAGCCCAAGCTGCCACAGCCACCCCAGGCAGATAGGCAGAGCTGAGACCCCTAAGAGAGGGGCTCCTTCTCCCTTACTTTTCTCTCCATCTCTCCATGGCTCTCCCCGGCCCCCTCCACTTCCTCCCTCTGCGAGTGGGGCTCGGGTTACGGCCTCAGCCACTGCACATTATTATGATCATCCTCATGATGATTGTTGTTGTGATTAAATATTTATCTGCAAGGGAGAGGAGAGAACACCAGCTCTTCCTCATTCTCACTGCTAATTTGGGCTAATTTCCCCTGGGGGTGCCTACCCTCCTCCCCCAACCTCCCTGCTTAGAGCCAGCAGCCTCCCCCACCTCTCCCCTGCACTCCGGAGGCCACAGAGAGAAGGGCTGGGAGCTGAGTCAGGGCCTACACTAGCGACCCATCCTCTTGGGTTTCTCAAATGCAGACTGGGGAGCCATTTGTCCACTTGGTACCTCAGTTTCCTCCCAGGCACTTTGAAAGAGGGGCTAGGGTGCTGGGACTTCAAAAGGTTTCCCCAAGACATGATGTGGCCAACAAGGCCCCGGAGCGGCCTCCAATCATCCCATCCTGACTGCCATTCTCCCCCTCAGTGGCCCTGAGCTGATCTGGCCCCCCAGTCTCTACCTCTCCCCAAATATGCTCATCAAGAGGCTCCCGGCACCTTAGTTTCTCAGAGGTTAGATATGGGGGGGGCTGTTAAAGCAGTCCTCCAGGTCACAGGGCAGGAACACAGCCTCCAGGACCAAAGTCAGCACCAGCCACACAGGGTGCAGTGAGAGTAGGGGGGACCTGAGGAAGCCCCAGACGCCACCCTTGTCCTGCAGCCTCCAGAAGCTGAAGCCAATGCTATGGGGAATGCTTGCAAGTTGTCCAAGGGGGCAGGGGACCCCCCCCCCAGAGTATCTACCATTACCTACCCCTTTGTGTGATGAATGCACCGGCCCTCCTCCCCAGATGCCAGCACCAGGCAATTCAGAAAAGAACCCTGGAGAAGCCAGAGGCAGAGCTCAGGGTCCTGCTACTACTGCCTGGCTGGCGGCACATGCCAGCCAATCCTCAGTTCCCACGTCTGTGTAATGGGCAAGTGGGAGGAAAATCCAGTCTGGGAGGCCATACTACTTTTACAGGCACGCATTCAAAGCAGTGGGGCAGCATGACTGACCATCCTGGGCACAGGAAAGGGTCAGGATGCTTGCGGGCACCATGACCACCTCAGGCATGCACCACACTGTGGCTCCAAGGAGAGAGCAGCAGCAGTGACCCTGTACCTGAGTACTCACTGAGGGCTCTGCTTAATTGTCCCAGGCAATCACAGCCCTATCTCCAAGGAGGCAGCCAAGGCAGCAGTGACACACAGCTCGGGGAGGACACAGCCTGTGCAGGCTGCCCAGGCCCGACTCTCAGACCCTGCCGCTCTAGCATCCTATGAGGTTATGATTAGCTCCCATACGTTTCTGAGAGAGGCATGTTTGGCATCATGACAAGCTGTGTGCTGGAGCTACAGCATAGCATACTCAGGCTAGGAGCCAGTGCACAGCAGCTTCTGACAGCCAGGCCCCGCTCAGGCCTCCAGATCCTTGGAGGGGTTCACCTCTGGCTTCTCCTTGAGGCTGGTGCACATCCAGGCTGAGCCGAGTGCGCACGCATGCGCGCGCACGCACACACACACACACACACACACACACGAAGGCCAGGCCACATGGGGAAGGAGGCCTCCGAGCAAACACCTGCAGCCTCTGAATCAGGAGCCCTCGCCTCTCCCCAGCTGCTCAGACACCCACCAGGCCTCCCTGCCTGGACTGAACTCCAGCCCCTGACCACAGTGGGACCCACTCCACCCTGTCCAGCTAGGCTGGTCTTTTCTGAGCTTCTCCAAAGAGCTGGGCAAAGCTGCTGCTTTTTTAGCCTTCCCTCCTTCCTTTGATCACGGGAATGGGAACAAGAGCAAGTAAAAATACCCTGGGAGTGACAGGGGCCAGGAGAGCAGAGGCAGGGGCAGGTAGGGGGAGGAAGTCAACCATGCCCCTTCCCCCTCTAGGCCTGCCTCCATCTGCAGAGGAAGCAGGAGCTGGGGCAGGGTAGCAGGGGGCCTCCAGCTCTCCCAACCCCGTCAGTAGCCAGGAAAGAGCAAACCTGGGTCCTCCAGGGGATCCCTCCCCAGAGACCACCAGGATGTGTACAGGTGCACACCAGGTGGCCGGGCCACCCCTGCCGCCTCTCTCCATCTCGCTCCTCTTCTCTGGTCATTGCCTGCTGAATTCTTCAGCTTCAGGGGAGGCCAGAGCTGGGCACCGAGGGACAAGGAGCGAGGGCTGAGAGCACAGGGCTGTAGCATCTTCCAGAACATGCTCTTTAGTGAATGGGGACAGGAGCGGAGCTGGGGAGGGCAGTGGCAGGCTCCCCACACACGAGGCCCCTATCCAACCCAGCCAAGGGCCAAGGGGAGGCCGCTTACAGGGCAGGAGCTCACCCTCGGCCCGGACAGAAAGAAACAAAGGCCGCACAGCCACACCAGTCCCGGGAACCTACCCCTCACCTAGCTTCTTTGTATTCTCCCAAAACCAAGGAGATGGAACAAAATCCACACACCAGAATAAAGCACAAATAAATAAATACACAAAGAGGGGGAAGAATCTGACCCTGGCTCCCACAGCAAGGAGGACTGGGGACTCCTACCCCAGACCCTGGCTCTCCTGTCACCTACCCTGACCCCCTGTGTCAGCTCAGGCACACCCAGGAGTGGCCAGCGACTGAGTGGTCAGCTTATGACCTTCTGGGGCTGGGGCTGTGTACACACCTCACAGTTCCCACCACCCACTTCGCCAGAAGGGACAAAGCGGGGAGAACTGGGGGCTCCAACCCCGTGGGCCCCCTGCCATCCCCTTGGGGACCTCTGCAGGCTGGACAGAGGTGTGCTCTAGGGGCAGTCTCCTCCCAGGTGGGCAAGAACAAGCCCAGGAAGCAGGTGGTCAGCCCAGCCACGGGCCGTGCTCCAGGCATCCCTGTGCCACCAGACAGAGTAGGGACTGCTGTGAGCTAAGGTGCCCGGGCCTCCCCATCCACAGCCACGGGGCCTGTGCACAGCTCCTGACCACACAGGAAAGGTGGTGACAGCGGCCTTGGGGGCAGAAGCGGAGGCAGATAACTGAGGACAGGGCCTGCCCCACACCAAAGGCTCCCAGGCCCTCTGAGAACCAGGAGACAGGCACCTTGCCAGAGCAGGGAGTGGGGGGACCAGGCACGACAGGTCCCTGCCCACTGATGGCCTGAGCCGTTCCAGCTGGGGAAACATGTCCAGACCCCACATCACAGACCAGCCCTGCCCTGTTCTGCCTAAACATCAAGGACCTGACTCAGAGGATGGCTGGTTCCACGCTGGGCACTGGAAACCTGTGTGGGAGGAAGAAGCGGAGGGGGGAGAGGCAGGGGCACACCAGCTCCCTGGCTTAATGCCAGTGGGTGCTGCTAGATGGAACTAAAAAACCTAAGGCCCTTGATATCCCCTACCTGTGTTTCCCTCCCTCCTCCCCCAGGGGGCCTGCCCTGATTGCTGTAATTTCTGTAACCACTTCCCCTGCAGCGGTGAATGTCAGACCCTCTCTCAAGTTATTGGATACTAACAGACACACTAGGTCCTCACCTCTGCATCTCCCATGACTCGCCCAAGGTTCAGGACACAGGAACTGTTCCATGAATGACCAGACAGCCAGCACGGCATCCATCCCCACCTACGGCACACACACCTCACGCTGAAGTCAGCTGAGTGGCTGAGCAGGTGCAAGTCCCTGCTGCAACTGCTTGGCCATTCACACCTACAGTACAGCAGGAGCCACCCTGGGCACCAGGGAAACTGCGGGGCTACAAAGCCAGCAAAGAAACCTTCCCTGTGCAGCTGATCCCCCAGGGGGAAGACAATTAGTATCCCCTGAGGGTGGAGAGGGTAGGAGGGGCACCCCAGAGGGATTCAAATGGGCCAGGGTAGTTAGAGGAGGCCTCATTCCATTAGGGGTTACAAGCAGTAAAACTGTGTGTCTGTCTGGGGATAGAATGCCCCAGGTAGGGAGAACAGCAAGTGCCAGGGCTGGGGTGGGCACCCACATATCTGGTGTTCAAGGGACAACAGGAAGGCAGTGGAGAAGGAGACAGAAACAACAGCATCAGGGAAGACACCAAGCACAAGACAGGCAGGACCGTGGGGTCACAGTGAGGTCAGAGCTGTCGGGGACACTGGAGGATGCTGAGCAGCGGCAAGAAACCTGAGGCGCAAAAAGGCAGCCCCCTGCAAAGGTCGCGGCAGCTCCCAGCACTGCTCCGGGGCCAGAGTCCAGCCAGACTAGCACAGCTCACCGGCCTTCCCTCGGTCCCAGCAGGTCCCAGCAGGTCAGCCCAGAAACTGCCCAGTGCTGACCCTCCTCCTTGCCCAGACCCGGGGCCCTGCAGCCAAGCTTGGCTTCTCTCCGACTCCTCCCACCAGCAGAAACCCCTTTTTCACACCGCCTTCCCTCGTTTTCCAGCACCACTACAGCCAAGTGGGCGAGTGTTTGCAGCCAGTGCTTCTGCCGGCATCACTGCGAGTGGGCCCCACCCTCCCTCTCTCCTGCCCACCCCCAACCCAGCACTATCCTGGAATGTCTAGGCTGCTGGTCTACACTCTAGTGTCCTGGACAGCCACAAACAAACACTGTCCTCAGTCCAAGAGATCAGACCCCCTGGTCCTAAGGCAGGTGGCCCAGCTGGACTCCTCCTGAGAATCCTGTCACTTCACAGTCAGCGCCTTCTCCCGAGGCCCCCCCACCCAGGTGGCGGGTGGCTCAGCCCCAGAATAACACGGACTGGCATGTCCCGACTGCCGCAGATAACATCTACCCAAATGAACAGGGTCCAGATGTCATTACACGCAGCGCTCCCTGTCTTAGTTCACGTTCGTGTGCACACATCTATCGACGCCTCACTGCTGCCAAGAGCTTGCGAAACGGGAGGTTAATAATAAAACACTGCCATGGGCATCATCTGCCTTCATTTCAGGGGCGACATCTACGACCCCTGTGGTGTGGGTTCCCCAGGATCCAGGAAAGACATGGAGAGACCAGAACGGCCTCTCTCTCAGGCCATGGACCCAGCTGCAGGCTGGGCTGGCTGTGAGGGGGCTTCATCTCTCCCATGCCAGTTCCACTTGTATGCAGTCCTCTCAGGAGCAAGCCTGAGACGGGTGGAGGGGAGCAGGGTACCCCCAAGGCAGGGGGAAAGAAGCTGGGGGATGAACAAGTGGCTGCCAGCCTTGCAAGGGAGAGCTGAGCAAGAGGCTAGAGGCAGAGCCAACTGCAAGGGCCAACAGCCGGGCACCCTCAAAATGCACTTCTCAGAGTCACCTGCTAACTAGAGCAGAGGTGACACACTTGCAGAGAAGCCCTCCAGCTCTTTCCAAGAGCCAGCGGCTAGGGACAGAGAGCCCCAGGCCCCTGGGCCCCAGGGCAAGCTCCTCGGCCCCCTGACTCAGGTGGGCCAGCTCCCCGCAACACCTTCTCTGGGCAGCAGAGAGAGGAAGACAACCTTCCCCAGGCAGCTGGCGGGGCCTGCCCACTGGGAAGCTGGGTTCTGGGCCTGAGCAGAGGAGGACAGCAGGGGTGGGCAGATAGCTCAGGAAGGGCAGTAATTAGGGGCTGCCGGCTCCACACTTGTCTCAGGGACTCGCCTGGTAGCAGCTATAATTGCAGCGCCCCCATGCCTTCTTGATGGCTGTACCATCGTCCCCCCCCCCAAACCACCAGCAGAATGGGGATGCAAGCATGTAGAGCCCTGTGGTGGGGCTGGGGCTAGGCCCAGCTGCCAGCCCCTTCTGCCAGGCCTCACCAGCCTGCCTGCAGCTGCCCCAGGCCTCACCTGCTTGCCTGCCACTGGGCAGTGGGAGGCGCTGCCTCCAGCAGGATGGAGCCACCCAGAGGGGGAGGCACAAGGGGAGCAGAGAGTGTGGCAAGCCCCTGGGGTGGCGTGGGGGGGATTCACTCCTCTGCCTACCCAGGACCTGCTGTGACATGCTACACACACACACACACCCCTCAGAAAACTCGCCAGCCCGCCAGCCCAGGGAACATTCCAACACTGCCTTCCTCTCCAGGCCTCTTACCGCAAACCCACCGGGGCCAGACAGCCCAAGAAGGGGTCAAGACTCAGGGAGGGGACAAATTTTCCGGTATTTTTGTCCAAGTGGTGTGAAGGTGCTGGCAGGTAGAGGAGGGATGATTATGCCTACAAAGACAAAACTTGTGGGAGGTGGGGCGGGTTCCACCCTGTGCCCCAGTTCACAAGTAGACAGGCATGCTCACTGCTCTCCAGGCAACTGGGTGCCCCAACCCACCCCACCCGAAGCCAAGGCTCCAGCTGAGGGCTGGTAAAGCCTTCCACGAAGGGACAGGGCACAGGGCTGGGTGCTAGCCCCGAGGCCTGCCCACAAGCAGGATGAGCCTCTGCCCGATGGGCGCCACACTCAGGAGCCCCTGAAGTCCCTGCAGGTCCAGAAGGTGCAGACCCAGGACACACTGGGGGAGGGGTGCTGACTCCAGGGTCTGGAGAAGCGCTGTGGGATGAAGGAGGACAATCCCGCTTCCCTAAGCGCCCTCATCTCCACTCCCCAAGGCAAAGGGCTGCTGGGGGAGCGGGCAGAAGCCCTCTCAGGCCGGCACCCCATCCCTGTCACCTCCCCTCCTGCCAGGCGGGCCGACGAGGGGCAGAAAGACACGTGGCTAAATGGGGCAGCCCAGGTGGACCAAGCCCGGCTCGATGGACGTCTGGAAGAGTCAGCTTGCTCCCGCGCCGCGGGCAGCCAAGGCGGCGAGATGGTGGGGAAGCAGGTGCCTCCTCCGAAAGGAGTGCAATCACGAGGGCGGGGGCGTCTCTCGGGGGCTTAGGGGAAGGGGGCGCTCGTACGTCCGCGCCTCAGGACTCCCCGCGTCGCCGCGCTGCCCCAGCTCTGCACAAACAGCCTCAGACCGCCCGGTGCGGGGGCGCCCCCAGCAATCGGGGCCTCCCCCTCCCAGCCCCGCCTCTGCGCCGGGAGGGGACGCCGCCAGCCCGCGAGCGCCGGGGAAGACCGACCCCGCACCAGCGGGGACCCCCAACCCAGGTGCGCGCGCGCGTACACACACCGATCCTCAGCGGCCCGCGCGTCCGACTGCCGCGCTGGGAGCTCGGGTTCATCAGGGTCCCGGGTAGGGACGGCCCCGAGTGTCCAGAGAGAGCCTGACCTCAAGCGCTTGCGCCGCAGGGAGACCCCAGGCTCTGGAACGCCAGTCCAAACCGCCGCGGCTGCAGGCATGCGAGTCACCGCCTCCGGCTGGTAGCGAAGGCGGCTTTGGGACGGCACGGGAGCCAGACGCGGTGCCCGGGAAAGGAGCCGAGCGAGGCGCACGAGGCCGGCGCTGCCCTCCCGCGGGGAGACGGAGGAGAAGAGGCGCAGATACTGCCCCCGCGCCCCCGCCCTTCCGCAGAAGGGGCGCGCAGCTGAGAGCTGCCAAGACCCTCCATCCGCGGCAACCCCACATAACCCTTGCCCAAGACACTACTTTCCCCCAGACCCGCAGGAAAGCTTCTGCCCCATTCTCTGCCTTCCTCCGAGGGTTTGTGGAAAGCCAACCCTAGCCCAAGGGGAAGAGACCCCGAGTCCGGGTCCCGCGTCCTCCGGCCCGAAGGCTCTGTCGGCCGGCGCTCCTCCGGACGCTCCCAGCCCTGCAGTTCGCTGAAGGCCACCTCCCGAGCCCCAGGGTCTTCGCCGCAGCCCGCGTCCCGGGAGGCCGGAGGGCTAGGTCTCCTCCTCCCGGCCCCTTCGGGCCACAACTCACCGCGCGCCGGCAAGGTGTAAGCCGCGGCGAGGGGTCGGCTGTGCGCCCGCTTGCCCCGGAGGCGCAGGGAGGCGGCAGCCCGAGGCTCGGTTCTCGCGGTGCCCAGAGCCCGGGCCGCGGCGGGTGGCGCTGACGCTGCGGACCGAGCAGGGCGCGGAGCCGCCGGGAGTCCCGGACGCAGCAGGGATGAGCTGGCGGCCGCCCGACCGGAGCCGCCGCCAAGCGCTCGGCGTTCGGCGGCTGCTCCGGCGAGAGCGAGCTGGCGAGCGGCCGCAAGCCCTGCCCCTGCTTGCCGCGGAGCGCTGCGTCCGTGCCAGAGGGATCGGACGAGGCGGCGGCTCCGGGGAGAGCTGAGTCCGGCTGAGGGCTCTGGGCTGGGAAGGGAGCTGAGCGGGAACGACCAGCGAACGCTGCCCGCCGGGGTGCAGGCGCTTAGCGGCGCCGCGGTAGCGGCAGCAGCGGCGGCGGCGGCAAGGAAAAAAAAGAGAGAGAGAAAACGAGCTGGAGAGCGCGCCGGAGAGGGAGCGCGAGACGGGGAGAGCGGGGAAGACGCCGGGCGGAGAGGCCGCGGGCGGGGCGGGAGCGCCGCGGAGCGCGAGGGGGCGAGGGGGCTGCAGCCACAGCCTGTGGCCCGGGCACCCACAGCCGCTGCCGCACCCGACAAGGCGCGAGCCCAGCCCCGCAACTTTGCGCTGCAAGTGCGGGCCGAGCGCGGGGTGCTTCCGCCAGCCTTTTAAAGAGAGAGCACCTGGGCGTCCACCCCCTCCCCGCACCTCCACCTCCGGAAGGCCCGGCTCCCGCGCGCCCCGCGGCTCCCCTCCCACCGCACCCCACCGGCGCCCTCACCCGGAAGGAAGCCCCCTGCTCCGCGTTTGCCAGCTCACCGACCCCCCGACCCCGAGGACCCGGCGGGGAGTCCTTCTCAGACGGGAGGTCGAAGGTTACCGACTCCAGCCTACACACACACCCTGAAAAGTACCGCGAGGCGCGGGGATGCCAGGGGCCGCCCTGCTTCCCAACCGGTGCGTCACGGGAAAGCCTCCCGCGGGGCTGCCTCTCGCACATCCGCGTGCACGTGGTGTGTGCCCCCGTGCGGCACGTTCCTTCACACCCCACGGCTCCTGGTTCAAGCCTGTTACAGGGGAGCAGACTGCGGCCCCATGCGCTTGTCTGAGGGACGGTGTCCGCGGCCCCATCCGGCTACGGGAACATTCCAGCGGCTGCTCCCCACGCGCGCGCGATAGGTTCCCCCACCCCAGCCAAGTGTAACAGGTGGCCGGTTCTGCGGGCTGCGGGAAGACTCCCTGGGCGGCCTGCAAGTCGCTGGAGCCCTGCTCTTATCCTGAGGGTGGGAGGCACTGAGAAACCCCAAGCCCGGAATGGCCTTCCCAGCAGGCAGAGGAGGGAGCCACACCGCCCTCTTAGGACAGCCAGAGTATCTCAGACTGCACAAGTGACTTCAACGAGAGCTGTAATGTGTGACTGTCTTCACCCCGGCATCCGGCAAACAGCAGCACCAGGACTCCTCCCGTGGACCTGGAGACTGCCACCCCTGCCTGATTGTGCCAGGCCTGGAGGGCAGGGGTGGGGGACACAGCCTCATATCTCCCACTTACAAATCAGAAGACTGGCTGGGTGGGGGAGTATGGGAGGTCGCAGCCGCGGACTGCCCGGCCCTTGCCCCTCTCCATGCCCCTCCCGCTAGACCTGCCTAGGCTCCCCCTCCAGTCCCACACCGTGCCCCCCAGTTCTCCAGGCTACACTAGGCCACGTCTTGTTCGCCATCTTTCAGACCGTGCCTGGCGCTATGCCTGGACCATAGTGGGAGCTCCGAAGAGGTTCAGTGAATGAATAGATGTTGGCAAAGCACACGCTCCCCGTGCTGTTGTGCAAAATAGCCCGGATACACATCTCATTTACACAGGCAGCCTGCAGAAGGATTCATGCACTCGTTTCTGTTACATACAGGCATGTATGTGGCGGGGGGGGGGTGTCTGTGTGTGTGTGAGTATGGTGGGGGAGGCTGGGATCCTGCCCGATTCCCAGCCCTGGGAACACACACCCATCACCAGGACACTACCCTTGAGGAACACCCCTGGACCACAGAGCTGTGAGCAGAAGGCCACGGAAGTGGCCACAGCTGCAGCCGGCTGGGCGGCTGGGAGTGCACTGCTCTGGGCTCCCAGGTACTCAGGCAATTCCCAGAGACACTTTGCTGTTGGGACCAGACTGCCTGGATTCAAGCTGGCCTCTGCTGTGTGTGCTGGCCTGAGAGCCTGGTCCCCACTGTAAAACAAGGAGCACCAGGCCAGCTTGCAGGTGGCTTCCTGCCTGTTGGGGAGCTGCAGGAGGTTCCCAGTTAGCCGGGCCTCAGGTTGACAAGTGGTCCACTCCATCCTGAGGTTGTGTCTGCTCCCAAAAGAAAGGGTTCCTTTTCCTCATTCACTCAGAGGCACCATCTGGGCCAGGGTCTGGGCCCAGGCAGCCTGACAAGGGAATGCAGGACCTGGGCCCAGAGTCTGGCACCTGCAGGTAGGAGCCACTGCGATTTCCAGCACAGAGCATCATCCTTGCTGGTCTGCTGAATAAGGAAGTGGGTGAATAACAATGCATTCATCCAATGGACTATAACGTGGGCCACAGCTCATGGGGAGCCTGAACTACCCACCCCCCGGCCTTTCTCTCCATCCCTGCCCACTCCCCGCTCCTGCCCTGGCTCTGGCCATGAGCAGCCCGCCCCCCACCAGCTGTGTGGCAGAATGCTGGGCAGGCTATGTTTTTCCGGGGTTAAAAAAGGAAACACTGTTGGCTGGCAGATGGCTGAGGCTGTGGACTCACCCAGCCTGCAGGTTCCCAGTCTGGGGCCTGGTTCTTATAGGCAGCCAGTGTGGAGCTGCCCAAGCTTCTAGGCCTCCATGGCCCTGGGGGACCCAGGCCATCCAGCAGAGATCCCTTTCTTGGGGTTGAGGGTGGCTGGACTTGTCCTGGACACACCCACCTGCTCTTCAAGGAGCTTCCTTAGCATCTACTCCCTGGGTAAGCTGTGCAAAGCCAGCGACCACAAGTGACCCCGAAGCGTCCTGCAGGGAGGCCTGCACCTGGGCCAGCTGCTCCCCGGGCTGCCAGACAAGGGGGTGGACAAGAGCATGGGGTTGAACCCTGAGGGGCCTCTCCCAACCCCTCAGCCTCTCCTGGGGTCTGAGGTCTGGATTGAGGCTGAGCAGACTCTGGCATGAGAGGCAGGGCGGACATGCCAATGCCCCTGTGCCCGGGGTCCTCAGGTACACAGGCTCAGCCTAGGCAAAGATGGCCACAGCTCAGGCAGGGAATAGCAACACAGACATGTGTACCTGTCCATTCCACTTCTGTGCCCAGGAAGTTCTTCCTGAGATCTGACCTAACCCCTTCCTGCTGCCCCAGACTCTTTCTGTGGCCTCCCTGGTAAGGGAGAACAACCTGCACCCCACCCCAACACTCTCTCTCTCTCTCTCTCTCTCTCTCTCTCTCTCTCACACACACACACACACACACACACACACACACACACACTGTGTGGGGCGCTCACAATCCACAAAGCTGCTTCTGTGACTTCTCCATTTCAAAAGAACCCTAAGAAGAGCAGGCAGATGTCTGAAAAATGCGAAGTGTAGGATTTGTTGAAATAAATCGTGGTGTGCTTGAAGGGGTGGGGCCCCGAGAATACCTGACAAATGGTCCCAGGGCTGAGCTGACCCAGCCTTGGCCTTGGCCTCCCAGTCTGATGGGCTTCAATTTTGGCTTCCCCTCCCCCAGGCCATTAGCTGGTAATAGCTGTATGGGGAGGAGGGGAGGATGTTTAAACTATACCTTCCCAGCCACAGATGAAGAGCCCAGAACCCAGAGAATGCAATGGGCCGGCTCTTCAGAGTAGCTTCCCTGCAGACACTGTGAGGATAGCTGTGCTGGGGTCAGAGACCGCTGCCCAGGATGGGCCAGGTCAGGATGACCCCACTGGAGGCTGGCAAACATCTAGGACCTGCTCTTCCCCTTGGCCGGTAGGAACCCAGCCTCCGGGAGCCCTCCTATCCACCCACTCTAACCTCTATGAGCTTCCAGCGCTGAGCAACAAGCTGGCCAAAGCTACAGCCTCTTGACAGCATTCCAAGGTCTGGCATGTTCTGGGAAACCCAGATTTGTCTGCAAGCTTCCATTGAGCCTGTTGTGAAAACTACTCATGTGGCCGGTGGCAGCTGTGTGTGTCTTCCTTGCAGGATCGGCAGTGGGGGCATGCACTGGGATCCAGCAGCTTCCCCAGGTGCCCAGAGCCTTGCTCACTCCAGGTCCTGGAGCCCTGTTATCTTGCTAAACCTGCATTGTACCAACGGGGTCCTGAAGTAGGGTCTGTGCACCTATCCACATCCCTGTAGTGTAGCTGTCACCCTCCCGTTTGGACCAAGCACTTCCAGGGTGGGCAGAGCTTGGCAGAACCAAGTGCATGAGGAGTCCAAAACACAGTTCTGGAAACCTCGGTGGTGGTATAGAGGGTGCAGCCACACTGGTTCATGTCTTACCTGCTCCACTTCCAACTCAGCATCCTGCTAATGTACCTAGGAAAGCAGCAGAAGACGGCCCAAGTACTCAGGCCCCTGCCATTCACATAAGAAATCTGAAAGAAGCTTCAACCTGACCCAGCCCTGGCCATTGCAGCCATGGGGCGTGAATCAGAAAACAGATCTCTCTTCCACATGTAACTCTGCCTTTCAAATGAATAAAATAAAAATCTAAAAAAAAAAAAAAGACTGAATCGGAACACAGCTCTACAGTCACCCGGGTTCAGGTGTGCGAGCCAGCCAGGTAGGTGAGGGCTAAGAACAGAACATGCCAGAAAGGCCTTAGCACTAGCTGTAGGAGCACCCCACAAGAATGGGGGTGCAGGATGGAAGCTAATAGGCTGGCTGGAGGGTCTCTGTCTCTTCCATCTGCATGGAGGTCAAGGCAGCTGGGAAGGAGGCGACGCTCACAGAGTGGGTGGCCGGGCGGCAGGCTGGGGAGCAGCTGTGGG